TTCTTCTTATTATAGGATTCTTCAACAGTGGGCATCTACAACTCCATAGGAGATCGAATTGAAGAACTTGAGGCCTCGTCGATAGACCTCAACCTTATGACCACTGATTCACATTCCAAGATTTTAATGCTGTCTGATTTTTAATAGTTCTTCAACTGGTTTCAGCTCATAATGAATTTTAAAATTCATAACTGATAAGAGTATTTGTTAATTGTTTTCATTTTATCAAATGTGTATTAAATAGTTCAGGTTGTGGTGGATTTTTTTTTCTGAAGAAGTAACAACTGATAAAAAATTCTGAAAAACATCAATGATGTTTTGGAGTTATATTAATTATATCAAATCTATTATTAATAATATTCACTCACAAGTAAAAAGAAATTCTGGATCAATTAAAGAAGTACAAAGAGTGAATAAAGTATCCCGAAGTAAAAAGGTCGTAGATGTTATATGAATATTCTCGATAACTGACTAATATGATTCTTTTTTTCATTAACTAATCGTATATTATTAAGAAGAAAATTAAAGAAATTGCTATTCATGAATTTAAATAATCAACTATAATCTTTCATTGAAACAAGTATTCATCATGTATTCCCTTCGGATATAATTTATGAATAAAACAAACTATAAAATGTTTATTTTTAACAATTAGTATTAGACATAAAAATTTTCTGGTTAACGTTTTTTTTAGCGAGTTAGTTTTCTACGGGATGGGGTCGCTAACCCCATACCCAACCCTCTTTCTTTGTCTGGGTTTGGGACCTGCAGTAGCCCCCAGAAGGGACTCCAGGCAGACTAAATGCCTGCATTCTTTCAATCTAGTACCTTAGTACTTAATACACTAAATCAAATATGAATCATCAATAGATTGCTGAGAAAATTATATTTAATAGAATTCAAAATTAGACAAAATACCTTCAGAATGGTAATCTAAATAAACTACATATACATACCTAGTAACAAAGTGAATTTCCGATACACAAAAGTAGTAAACAAGTTCATCATGTATAACATTCATATCGATTTTCATAATTAAGATTATACGTAAATTATGTTATTATCAGAAAAGTCAATTGTCTAATATATATATATACTAGCGAATACATGGATTTATCTAAAATCAGAGAAAAAGTTCAAATCAACTTACTGAGCCCTTCGTGCTTTCGGTAAAGGAGAACTTGTACTACCTACAATTTCTGAAGCCTTCTTCCCAGTAGTAAAAATGACAGACATATTTTTTAGAAAAATTGGTTAATTAAATAGTTGTTAATTTAAGAATATATAAAATTCATATTAAAAGAACATTATCAACATGACTTTATATAGAAGATGAATGTTATAATATTCTTTTTTGTTATTCTAATTTACTTAACAGTAACTTAAGTTGTCATAACAACTGATCAAGTGATTATCCATTGGTTCAATGCCTCAACATTTCTTTAAACATAAACAATAGTTATACACAAAGATAGTTTTATTATTGTTTTTTAATGGAAAGTACGTGTTATTATTAACATACAAACTAAGCAAATACATTATACAGCTTAAGTATAAGAGATAAATATAATATTTGCAAGCAATAACTATGTGAATAATGTTCTGTACGTGACCTTTAATTTTATTCACTTATAAAGTGAACTATATTAATTAAATAGTGAAAATAATAGTAGTGGTAATAATAGTAATAATACCTAACTCAGTGTTCAAAGGAAATACAATCAAAATCAATAAAGTGATGAAAAAATCCAACTAAAAAGATAGTAATTCTGACAGCTTCTAACCATAATATGATTAGTTCAAACAAGAGCTAACATTTTCTTTAGACCATATGTTGCGATAAACATAACCAACAAATACCTTGTAAAGATAGAAGAGAGAAATAACCTAATTTATCTCTTTAATGGAAATACATCACTTAGCTTAATATAAACAACAATCAAATTGGTCACAGAAATCTTGATGGATTTTTATCCCATTCTACGCACTCATCGTGAAAAATTATTTATAACGATAACATGAATACGAATAGTCAACAAATATACGCATGAAAGAACAAACTTTAAATAGAAACGGATAATGACTAGCAATGGAATACAGGATGGGCGTTACGCACTATTTAGGACTGGATGTACCTGCATCCTAGAGTTGATATTTATTCCGGTACCGTTCGTTTTAAATGCTATCGCGTTATCCATTTAATTACTGAGTTGAGATAAACGCCAGTTTGTGCAATGGCGTGAGAATGATTCAATTCAAACACTGATCGATTGCACTCCTATACAATAAATATAAGGTTTGGACAACCAATATATAGATCGAAAATATGCTCTATATAATCTTCACACTAATTTAAACGTCAAGTGTGTTTTGAAAAGTAATATTCAATTGAAATCGTGAACCGATCAATGTTAGACCACCACTGAGACCGTGAAAGCGAAGGACGGCCACCTCATCCTTGTATGGGACTCCTCAGCAATGCGTATCCTCGATCCTGCATGTTGGACTCGAACACGGGACCTCCAGTCCCACGCTAATGCTTAATCTCTGCAAACCTATACTGATAATATTTATTTATTCTCTGATTAAAGGTTACATCACTTCAATTTTTAACTTACTAACTAATCTCTGTAGAGATTTATGTCTTGTCTAAAGAGTCTTATGTTAATTAGTAGCTGCTACATGAAATCCTTCTGTAGATGTGTTGTCTTACTCATCTATTCAGAGACTGCCGTTAATATCCCAAACCTCTGAACACGGTATTCGAAACTTATTTCAGATTAGACAACGTTGTCACTAACGTAAATTGTCCTCCATCATACTGAGAAGACTGTCAAAAATAGTGACCTACTTATATGAACCAGGTTGGTTTTTGCCCACCTTGTAAGTTTATTGAGCATATCTGCATCCCTTGACAAATTCTTCAGGATGTCAAACGAACAGTAATTATATTTTTTGATATTCAGAATAACTATGATTAGTTAGACAGAACTATACTATGAAATTTTCTTATGGGCAAAGAATGTGTCGGAGAATATAAGCATGACATTGAAACTTACTTGCAAAACCTCATGCAGAAGGACCTGATAAAACCACCTATCTTCATGCTTTAAAATATCCAGCTCAAAATTAGTATTTCTTCTTAAGGTTTCAAGCGATTGCATTCTTTAGACAAGTTTGAATGACGCTTGTGGTGATAATTACTCAAGTTTGTTACCCGAAGCGCTCGATTACGATCCATGTGTATGATACATACTTCTGATCATTTAAATACGAAGCCACCAAAAGACTGTGCCTGAACTCACCTCTCATAGTGGGCTGTTAGAAGTATTTAAAGATTCTATGTATTTGGCTAGTCCTGTGACTGTCAGTCATAGGAAAGACAGTAATATTTACCTGAAAATGAAGGAATGTTTAGTACAACCATGAATTTATTTTGTTTGTAGACGTTTGGTTGCACGGTGTACCCAAACATATCTGCTCCATACTACTGGGACCTAGTCTATCCAAGTTGATTTTAACCAATGACTCCCTCTATTCGAACAACCGTTCCTGAGAAGGAATGTTTACTGTCAACGATAATACAATGTAAGCATTTTGAGATCTAGGGCCATGTGTTTCAGAAATAGTGACGATGATAATTCATTTAGTGTTACCGTCTTAAAACAGTGTCTTTGGTCCCAGCGTTACCTTTTATGAATCAGCTCCCGTAGTATGTATAACTTAATGATGTTGAGAATGAGAGTTTAAAAAATGATATGACGATTTAATATTGCCATCGCGAAATGAAACAAGGGTGTTTTGAATGCCATTCACTGGTTTATTCTGACCTTTTGGACAGAATTCTAAATATTAAAGAACAAGAGCTTAGGATGTCACCGTGATCTCAAAGAGACCTGAAAACAATCAAACCTGTTTATAAACTGATATAAGTAAAAAGTGGACTGAATATTTTGTTGAATGGTCCTTGTCTTACACTGGTTCTCTAGTTGATTTCACTTTGTTATATATTTTCTTCGCTTGGAACGAATTTCAACAAGGAATCTGGTTAAATATGTATTCTTAATGAATACTGAAGTCATAGCAGTCAAATTTTGCCAATTTAATACTAATATTAGTTCAAATGATCATTGTCTCAATTCGTCTATACTTAATTGTAGTCACATTTCTTGAAAAAATGTTTCATAACAATAACTTGTCCCTATAAATAATAAACATATGTTGTGAGATAGTAACTTACTGATGACAATGGTGGGTGTGTCGCTCAATTTCATGGATTAGTTGAAGTTAGACACTAGCACTATTGGATGCCAGCCGGCTCAATAGTCTAATGGTTAAGCGCTCGCTCGCGAGACCAATAGGTGCTGGGATTTGAATCTCGCGGGGGGCGGGATCGTAAATGCACACTGTTTAGGAGTTCCACAATAGGACGAAACGGCCATCCAATGCTTCCAGGTATTCCATGGTAGTCTAGCTTCAATTGACCCATGATCTCAACTATTGAGATATGTACGTACATTCGATTTCTTTTTAAATGTTTAGGACAACATTTACAGTAATACAAACCTCACCAATTTTCACCACCACCACCAACAACAACAACAACAAAAATTCCATTAAATTGATTCATCAAACACCTTATTATCAACTTTTCGTGACTAGAAATGATTCATTGATAAGTTTAGTTTTAAAATAAAATTTTTAAAGTTTTCATTTTTCTAAATTTATCTTTAAAGAAAAAAATTATGCAATATAGTCAATTAGTCTGAATGAAGCAATTCTATATTACGCAATAATAAGTCTACATATATGTTGTTTACTCACTTTATTCACTATGTTCTATTCAAATTAGTAATCATCAACAACAACAACAACCAATTAGTTTGGTTGGTTACCCTTTTTTTGTCTAAATTATAAATCTAATCAATTTTTTGATGAGTGATAATCACTTGAAATCATATTTATTCAATTCATTCAACTCAATTATTAGTTAACTTGTAATGGATAAACATGACTTCAATGAGGTTACAATAGATACATATAAAAAATGGAAACATATATTTGGAAAATTTAATTTAAGTATACGAAAATCTAAAACAAATACAAATATTTATAATGATGAGAATCCTAATCAATTCATTAAACGATTTAGTAAATCATTCCGAGAATCGAAATGGAAAACAAGAGATAATATGGATTCATTAAAATGTACTAAAGAAATGGAAGAAAAGAATAAACAGTAAGTGATATGTTTGTTTGTTTTTTTTATTCTGTGAAGTTTAACGAATGTGAATCATTATTTTGAATTTCAATAATTTTTGTCATAACAACTAATGTTTACAAAAGAGGAGTAAATGAATTATTCTATAGAAGTGTAATGATTATATTCGTATAATGAATTGCTTCATAACATTCTGCGACATAATAATAATAATAATATGTTGATTATAAAGTGTAACTTTGAAGTTAGTTGGTTCGTCACATTATTCTCGTCTAACTCAAGTAGGTCTCCAGTCATTCTATATAGATCATCTATGTTGATGATCTACAAACGAAGACACCTGGTAAATAGTTGGAAATCAGGAAGTACTTTTCAGTTTCTTAGTGTTATTTTGAAGCCCCTCATCAGTGTTCAATATCGTTTTTTGTGATGCTATTTACATACATCTAGAAAAATGTATTAATCAACTCTTTAGAATATTTAAGCCATGATTTTTAAATAAAGGATTATCATTATCTAACTATATTTCATTTAATGAGATAATGAACTGATAAATAATAGAACACCATTGGAAATCTGGAAGCAATGGACGGCCTGCTAATTTCCTTAGCAGTGCGCATCCACAATCCCACACACAGGACTCGAATCCGAGGTTTTCGGTCTCGCACACAAATGCTTAACCTTTAGACCACTGAGCCGGCATTCAATGGTGTTAATGTCTGAATTCAACTAATAGACGCAACTGAGCGACGTATCCACCATTGTTTTCAGTAAGTTACTTCCTTACAACAGACACGGATGAACTCCACTACTCACGACTTCTCATTAGAACTCCAGGAAATTCATCTTGAAGCTAGTCCCTAGCGAGTACATGATAATTATCAATATAGAATTGTGAATATTGTTGAATTTTTTTTAATTGAGATTATGAACTGATCAATCTTAGAGTATATTATAAATATTAGTCGCCCAACAACACAAGGAATAAGCCTACCAGTCAACTTTTACAACACTAATATATCTATATCATAAACGTTTGGAAGATAATCAAAAAAAAGAAGTTATAGATGGTATCAGTTAAGTTGAAATGCAAGAAATTTAAAAATGAATAAAACTAGTAAACAATAAAAGTGCAAAATATCTCACTTCAAATATAATAGTATACAATCAAAAGACAATAAAATGACTTATTTTAATACCATCTGGTTATTTTCTCAGAATTCACCTTATTTATATACTAGAAAAAGGCAATGAACATTTTCCTTTTCCATTTATCAATACAGTAACCATAACATTAACTATTTTAATATAAATACTCTTTATATTGTTGAAAATGATCTAACATAATGGGCAATAATTTTCACTACTGAATGTTTCTTCTTATATTCTATCATGTTTATTAAGACTAAAATCTAATGGATTTTCTGAATATGTTTCAAAATTTCCCTATTAATGACTGATGTTATATTTTAACATAAATTCTATTCAAATTTAGTTTTCTCTTTTAGCTTCAAGTGTTTTCTTTTCACACAAAACTAGAGAATAAGATTGTTTGAATGGGCCTAGTTGATACCACTTTGTAAGATTATTATATCCTCACTTAAACCTAGGTTAATACTTTAGCCTCGGTCTGGGCACCCGGGCAGTATCACAGCCCACACACAAATATGATGAACTGTCGATAATTATGGAAAATACTTTTCTTGCCTCGATTAACAATCAAACGATTCACATTATTATTATTACTATTATTGTTATTGTTATCATTATTTATTATTATTATTATTATGATTATTATTATTATTATTTCACCACATACATATTGGTACAAGAGGGCACCAAATATATATGCGCCACACCATATTTGTGTGTGTGTGTGGGCTGTGATACTACCCCGGTGCCCAGACCGAAGCAGGTGGTTTTCTTAGGGGGCCACACCCCGAGCCTTATTATTATTTACTACGTCATTTATTCACTCTCTTTTATTCTCACTCTGTCTATCCTTATTTTTCGACTTATACAGCAACTCGCCTATGGTGGAAATTCAGCTTTGTCTAAACGTCCTCGAGTAGAGACGTTATCAGATATGGCTCAGAATAGAAGCCAGTGACGATCCTGCTGTAACTTTCTTTTACTTTCTTAATAAAAAGTGGTTGCTTCTTCCTTAACTGAAAGATCTCTTCTGATTGCGCGTTTCTGTTCCCCCTCATTATTATTATTACTACACTACCTTACACTAATCTGTTCGTTATCGTTCTTTTTTTTGCGCTCCTTACCTTCTCTTTTTTCCTTCGAATTCTCATTGTTTTGTATGACGCATACATATTTGGTGCCCTCTTGTACCAATATTTATGTGTTCAAATAAATAAATAAAAAATAATACTTTAGACTTTAGCAGACTTAAATCAGTTCAACCAATGCAAATGCTACCCTACCACTTTTCCCGTAATTTCTTTGAAACTTTAGACTAGTGCATTTTTTCATTCGTTTGTTACAAAATACAGTTATTTTGTGATTACTTATATTTAATGTTGATTTCCTATATACACTAACTGAACTTCCCTATTACTAAAATCTTGTCATTCATTCAAATACAATTTACTTTTGATTATATAACTTCTACCAGACAATTTAAAGTACATTCATGCACAAATGTGTTTTTCATTGACACTTTTCATAACGCTAACAAGACAGAAGTATTCAGTTATCTTTTTGGAATTCCTGATAGTTCAAAATATTCACTTTGTAATAAGTTCATTCATTTTATAGATTCGATTTTGAAAAGCCTGAGTCATACAAAGAGACAAATTCTATGAAGTGTAATCCATACTTTCAACATACATCTCAAAATCGGTTTTATAGTAGTATGTATAACCGCAAGTGCACCACTGAATTAGTACGAAATTCAAAATATTTATTTGGATCTCAAGAAATATCACCAAAAACCAAGGTAAGAGGATGTATTTACAAGTTGAAATTTAATTGTACTGTACAGGTAGTATACATACCTTAAATGTAATGAGTATAAATCGAAGTTGGTCGTACTGTAGGAGCTCATAGTATGTCAAGCCCACATAGGTTATTCTAGCCTCTGGATAGATCAGTTTATTCATTATTCTCATACCGTGTTTTTACCCTTGACTTATTCACTTATTAATCCTGACTGTTTTTTTTATGATCGTATGTGTGATAACTACTTATCTTAATCACTGTGTGTCTGTAACTTATTTTTGGTCAACTATTAATGTCGATGCACGCTTGGCTAAATTTAGTTGGCGCACATGCCCTCTCCATTGAATGTTGTTTCGCTTCGCTCCCTTCTCTTCGCTTCGTTTCTGCGGTCGTCTGTTTGGATCGATGATTGTATGAAATACACGTATTTGGAATTCATTCTCGTATTGGATTTATTTAATTCCGTTATTCACTAACGCGAGTTAGGTCGATGATTATATACGAGGGTAGTCAGGTTGTATATTTCAACAGAAATCACTCGATAACAATCATTCGTCTGATCTAACTGGAATCATATATTGAGTCACAAAAGTACGAAACTTTACTTGGTTTGCTGAATTGTATGATGTTTTGATGATTTATAATGCCAACTGGTAATGTATACTGCAAATTTAACAATTATACCAGTACCATACTGACATTGCTTAGTATAGTTTTTATTTGTGAAACAAAAGTCCATAGATTCATGACATTTTATTCATTGCTTTGAATGTACTGACTATCAGAACCCTTTCAATTAATAGATAGTTTTATGAAATAATATAATTTGATTGTTTAGGTTTTTCCTACGGATGGATCAACACTCTAACAAATGAATGTAGTTTTGAATACGGTAATTTAGATAGACATAAAATAACAGAGAATAAGTAAAAAAACTTAATTTGTAGTAAAGATATGCAGCAAGTTTCGAATTTCTTTAGTATAAGCCTAAATTTAAATCAAGAAAGAGATTTAATTTAAGTTGACTTTCATGAATTACAGTATGCAGTATTGAATGGGACGGAACTCAATTAATTAGTTAACTTTTCTTAAGCGTCTTGAATTGAAGTATAAATGGTCTAATGAGTACCCACTGAATATCATAAAAATACAGACCGTACTATAATGTTTCATAATTCAGAAATCTACATTTATTAGAATTATCCCTATTGTTTTTTGTTATGAAAAGTATATTCATGATTGTATAGCATATGATCGCAGGCCCTACCAGGTAAAGAAACAATTCATATATAATCTTAATATCATAAATGCTTTTCACTTATGTATACAATGTAATATTTTGTTCAGCTAGCTCAATATGATGTGAATATGGAGTTAATGAATAAATTCCGAATACTTGAAATACGTGAATTGGGAAGAGAACCGGTTAATCGAATGAAAGGATGTAGAACTTCAGAAAAATGTGTACAAACATCACTAGTCGAAGAGCAGACCACATTAACTGAGGTATGATATTACTATTGTTAAATATTTATTATTCTAATCAAAATTAAAATACTACAAGAAGCACATTCATTAGAAAGTTTCACATCTAATTGTATCAGTTACATTCATTTCTGAATATTACTAAATAATCTTATTACCATGCACAATCAAGTTCTGATGGATTTAATGCAATGCATTCGTTGAATATAAATATACGTAATCAAATAAGTAAATAATATTTTTAATGGTCATCTGCTTTTGTGTTTGTTCTTCCTACTTTATTAATGGTTTCGATTGTTAACTAGTATTTTAAATTTAGTTTTAAAACGTTTACTGTCATGAAATCTGAGGCGCTTTGTTTACTTTTCAAATGAAAGTATACTGAATGATCTAACTTGTAATTTTGCACGAACACGAAATATGTTTCCATACAAGAAAAGGTTAAAGCACGATTTACTGAACAAGATGAAAATTGATAGTAATATTGACTAAAATCCAACTAACATTATGTCATAAAGTGAATCAATCTATGGAAGTTATTGAATCTTGAATTTCATGTAATCAAATTAGCATCTAATACAAATAGCATACGTGAATATATATATAGGAATTGCAACTATACTAAAAAAATCTTTGCTATGTTATCACTTATATGACAAATATTCAAATTCAAATCTACCTTATTTTTTAAGAAATCTCTGGGTTCCTTCCTACAAATTATAACCCACTTAATACTTGCTTACAACACTGGTTTATATTTGGTGATAAGTTCATATTCATTAAAAGTTAGTTTCTGGAAGTTTCAACGTTTATTCTTTTTTACTTCAAGGAAATGAAAGATGTTACTAGCGAGCCATCACCATCTTCACAGTACTCTTCTGGTTACGTTTCAGAAGTCACAAATTTATTGAGTTCTCCAAATTCTCTTGGAAGACCTGAAGTTGTAGAAAAGAATAATGAAAGTTTTGTGAATACTCCAAATAAACACCATGAGGTTGAACCGCTTACAACTCCAATAAACAAATCTAACCAACCTTACGACAACGGATGCTTCAAAATACCACCACCACCACCGCCGCCCCCACCACCACCTCCACCCATGTTTCTGCCACCCACATCTGTTTCATCAGCTTCAGGTTCTTTGACTCATACTATACCTGGTTAGTGTTATTTAATATATTTACTGGTGTACAGGTTTGTATAAGGCAACAATGTATAGTTTAATGTGTTGGTATATTTTTCTCAGAGCTTATCTACCTAAAATACTTAGGTTGAATTAAGGACGAACTTTCACTTTTTTCAGTGAACAAATGAGCATTTCGTATTTCAAAGTTCTACGGATAAACATAAAGTATTCATCTCCTAAGTATAATACTGCCTACTTTTGTAATAGTAGTAGTAGTGGTGGTAGTGGTATACAAATATTTGAAAGTAATCAATCCTTCAATGTATAGTCTTTCCGTATTTGCATTTATCTGCGGTTTTAAGTTTGGGTCCTGGGATCTCAATTTGTAATCCCATGTTTGTTTTAAAGTAAAATAAATGAAAACATGACATAAAATCAACTCACACCTATTTTGTGTTTCAAAGGGTATTATACTTTACCACCAGAAAAGTATGTTATCTTATGACTGTATGTTACTATAGTTCGTATAATTAGCAGAATTTTACAAAAGTGACGAGAATATTAGAAAGGACTAACTTTTTTGTAATAATGGATATAGCTTTTCAGTGCAAAAACGTTTTGGAAAGTGAATGATTTTGAACTCGTTTAATATTATATTTACTTATCCTTAGAAAGTAATCATAATTAGATCACTAGTGTAGTACGGTATGTCATTCAAAAAGTTCCTAGATATTTAAGTATTAGCAATTTATTTTTGAAAAGATTAGTTTAAGGTGTTTTTTTAATCTTATAGCATTAGATATTTTGAATTGTACCATGTACAGCTACTTCTTTTTGATGCTTTTTTGAAAAGTTGTACTTTTTTAGTCCTTTAGGTATTGTCAAACTACTTTGACCTAAATTCAGTAATCCTTTCACTAACAGCAATATGTCAAATGTTTACAACGTTTTATTTATGTTTCTCTAAATACTCATTCCCATAAGTTGATTGTCTTGTTTTCGTATTGACTTTTTTCACTTATTCCCAAATTTGGTCGATTCAAAACACGTATTCAGTTTAACTCATTTGTTCATATTGTGACTCTGTTTGATGACGTAAGAGGAGTAAAATGTTCGCCTGATCTATATGATATAACGTAATACGCTTTGAATAGTAATCTTATCATACATTAACCTGTTAAGATATTAATATGAGAAATAAAAAGGTCAGTCCAAGTTAGGTATAAGAGAAAAATTAGGTTGCTCGCTCCTGGTCATTCATAAAAAGGGTGTTTTTAGTCAACTTTTTACTTCCTTTAATGAATATTCGTCACCTACATTCACCGGATACTTGGATTCGGTTTGAATCTACAATATTTTAAAACAATTTAAGTCATTAATTACATATTAAAATCACACATCCATATGTTTGTGTGAGTACGAACACAGTGGGATGTGATGTAAACATTTATGTAATATTTGAAGCCTGGATATCGTCTAGTATCTTTCATGATATTTTCTCGTTAAAATATAACTGCAAGCATGGTTCCTTTAGAATATCACACGGTTCTAGTAGGTTTTCTTCAGTAAAAGGAATACATGATCCATACATAATCCATCTACTGGTTTCATATCTGTCGATTAATTACTCGTAACATGCGTAGAAAGTATTATTATTGTTCTGGGTTAAGATTTAGTCCCATTTTCTGAGCTAGATGGTTTGGTCGTGATGCTTTGATTATTCTTCTGAACAACGTCATCAGCACAAACTTCAGGTATTAGTGAAGTGTTTGAATTTCTCCACATATGTCTCACAGCTTGTCCTATCGACCTTGATCTTGATTGGTAATTGTTCATTTTTAAACTGTCATTGATTACTTCTTTATTTTGATTGTATCTCCCATTGGTTTTTTTTGGTCTTGTATTTGTCCGCGATTTTGTATTGGTTGACAAATCAGACCGACTTCAATGTGTTTGTTGATTGCTGACTGATCTGAGTGCTAAGCTTCTAAAAATTCTCTGGCTTTTTAGAATCGCCTCTATATAAGATCTCAACATTGTTTCCAATCGAATGTGCGTCCACAGTTGTCTACATGCATTGATACAAGTGTAGTGAACAAGAACACGGGTGGGGACAATCGACTGTATTTAGCACAAAAATTACAGACTGTCTCAATAAAATGTGAATACCATAAAGTCAATCGTCAATTTGCAAAATATCATTCCATCATATAAAACTGTACTGTTCCCGTTGCAAACACTAATCCATTGTCTCCCATTCCATTGTACATGCGTTTTCTTACAATTCCATTGTGCTCTTGCTCTTCCTTTCTTGATCTTCGCCATCTTCTGCTGCCGGACATTACGTTCTTTTAACGCACGTTATATACTACTTATATGAATATAAGTAGCTCACACCACACAAGCAAAGACATGTCATGGCGTTTGAATACTAATTGATGTTCATGCAGGCGAAGATGAAGGGAGCGTCCACTTTTTCCGATGTAATGTTTTCCGCAGTTGGGACAACTTATTTTGTAGATGATGTTCGGTTTTTCATTTATCATTTCGTCCTCTGGTTTGTATAGGATTGGTTGAATTGATTTTGTTGGTTGTGTGCTACATCTATTCCAAAAGGCTTCAGTAATCTCGTTGCAATTACTGATATGTCTTTTATGAATTGTATGATGATCCATTTGTTGATTTCTGTACTTTATTTTGTTTCTGCTGATGCGTTTGGTTGATATATTTTGATGAAGCTGATTGGGTAGTCGTTCTTCTGAATGATAGTCTTTAGATATTTTTCCTCATTTTTCTACTCTGCAAGTGTGTTGCACTGTGTCCTTGCCCTGTTGAATAACGTTTGTTCGCAGTGTTATCCTTGGATGTACTAAGGACCAGTACTGGAGCAAAAAAACTGGGGACTCAAGTATGTCGGTGTCCAATCCACACATAAAATTCCAAACTACAGTAGCAACAACTCATCAACTCACAAAATCAAGGAAACTACACCTAATTTATTCACCTGAGCTACAAATCTCCACCATCTCACATATCTGAGTTTTCGGATAGATGTTTTCCTGTCACTTACTCTCAGTATATTTCACTTTGCAATTCCTCTACTCAATTTGAAATTAAATTATACTCCATAAAAATCCCGTCGACTGTGCTTTGCTGATTAAAGTTTCCTCCTTCTTATGAAACCATATTCTCTATGTTTGGTCCTTCTTACAATAACTGATGTAACTATTGCTTCGATTTCTTTCCAATTTAAATGACGATCGATTTATTCATGGTTTGAGAATTAAGAAACTACAAAGGTTTCGGCCCTCATGACTGATATATAATTTTAACAGTTAATGGCATTATTTTAACGATAATTTTCGTTTTATTTCCCAGAATCCCCAATGCCGTACAATATGAAGCCGAAAAGAACGTTTTCTGCTCCGTTTAGGCTGAAGAAGGCCTGTGTATCCCCAGTAGGTCTAAAGTCTTTCATAAACTTTCCGAATTCCTACAGCGTTAAAAGTAATTCAAGACCGAAAAAGCCGATGAACTGAAAGGATAAGACTAAATAGTCTGATTCATTAGTGTGTTCCATTAGTTCATATTTGGATGAATAAATTATTGTATCAGTGGTTTAAAAAGCAAATTTCAACCTTTCGATCACCAGCTGGAACTCCATATTACAATTTGGACTTCTGTAGTCGCATGAATTCTCATATTTGTGTTCATTAAGTATATTTCAATTCTGGTGCATAAACCTGTACTTGCTCTGTGACTTTCATAACACTCCATGAAAAGTAAAACAAAAAATGAATTACTAAGCACTAATTTGTTACGATACTTCAAAGTTTGTATTTTTAAGGTCTTTTTGAACCAGACTTTATATTCATAAAGGTATATTTTCTATTGATATAAATAATAATCACATTTTTAATACTTTCCGAAGAATCACATTCAACTTTTGAATACATTAACCTTCATATTAATTCATATCATCAACATAAACATACTTGTTTAGGTTATACATGTTTATAATAAATAAGCACCAAACCAAAAGAGAATGATTTCTACCATAAAAATACTTATAAATGTTTCCAAGTGATGAATTCTTCACTTTGATTTATATCATTGTCAAACTGAACAATATAATTTCAGTATAATCTTTATGGCTTCTTTTTTAACAAAAAATAACAATATAAACATTTATTACTTTTCAATAGTTGAGCAAATCTCGTTTGAAAGAAAATTCTGTATGGGTATTTATTGATGATAGTGATTTATTGAGTGAAGAATTCGTCCGTCAACTTCATAGAAGATTTCGGATCAAAGGAAATAAAGCAATGGTTAGTGTTAAGATTGATTTTTCATTCTTTTTTAATTTTTTTTCTCGCCAAACCATTTCATCGAGAAAGTTTGAAAGTGCCGTGTAAATAGTGTTCTTTTGATGAGTTGTTCAATTGGTTTATGTGAACTTAAGACTGTAATTTATTTATTTCATGATTTGTTTACTACATGTAACTTCGGTTAGCTCTATAAAGATCATATATCTGTATGGGATTTGAATCTTAGTGAAGTTGCCAACGCTAAAATATAAGTGATTCAATCGACCAGTCGCAAGTACGACAGAATCCAGTTCCTGAACTGCGATGCTAAAGACTTTCAAGAATATGTTAAGTTCAGTATTAAAGGATATTTACTTGAAATGCCATTGTAATTAAAATTATTTGTTAGCAAAATGAAGTTGACCAAACTAACCTTTCAAGGCCTGCCGTCAGTAATAATCATCCACAAAAGATCAGCATCTTGAGGAGACAAAATATTCGTGGTCCAGCAAAAACATTTTAGACTCATTTAGATACTCGTTATGCAAAAGCCATTTTTCTAAGTTTTCTCTCAAGTAGGAGAGTTTCTTTTCTCTAACTTATTACTATTTCTTGATATTCGATTACTTAAGTAGTTTACTCAATCAGCATGTAAATATACTTTGAATTAAACTTCATTTATAATGTATCTACATATATATGAATGTGTGGTATGCTCGTTAGATAGGTAAATGTACTAATGAACACTTTACTAAATGATATCATGTAAAGTTTTCACTACATTTATATCCAGTGGATATTTTTCCACGTAGTGTTTGAAAGCTCTTGTCTATTTTGATTATGCTTCTGTTTTTTCTGACTATTTTTAGTCATCAGATAAATTGGAAATAGACTGTGGGAGTACTGTAACATCTTTATTCAATACCCCAGGTTCAAAAACTAGCCAAAACCCACGATTATCAATACATTCGAATGCAAACACGTCTATAAGGAGATCAATACGTTTCGGATCTCAGAGTCTTGCCTCTCGTACTCAAACATTGGATCTATTGCCAGTGAAAGCAGCTCAGGCGATAGCCATAGCTATGGCATCAGCGCATTTGAATCCAGAGGACGTAGCTCGATCTATTATTGAACTAAAGACAACAGTTAACCTTAGTCGCAACAAATCCTTTCCAAATGAGAATACAAAACATAAAAGTGAAGATAAATCGAGTTTCTTGACTAGTACAACATCGTTCCAGTCGATACCTGAAACTCTGTTAGATACCCTAATCAACTTTACACCCCAGATGGACATCATACTAAAACTGTCTGAATGTCAGTTGGAAACCTCGGTAAGAGATTAATGTACTTACATTACATAGACAATCTTAATAAAATGATCGGAAAGCTGTATATATTTGTATTTAGTGGATAGTTTTAACTTATGCTAACAATCCTTTCTGAGACATTGAATGATGTAGTTTAATTATGCGTCATACAACTTCTGTTAACCAATCAAACTTTTAAATATGATTTTGTTTTCCTTTTGTAGAATCTCATTGAAGCAGAGAAACTCCTTTACATGATATCTCAACTTCGCCATCGACTACCTGCTCATCTCCATGCTTTACGCATGCTTCTCCAATTCGATACAACTGTTGATCAATTAAAGCAGGCACTTTCATCTGCATGTAAATGTCTTTTCGAGATAAGACATTCTAATTCCTTCTGTCATGTCCTTTCATGTGCTCTAGCTTTGATTAATGCTTTAAATGCCACTAGACAATGCTCAGTTAATGAATCTACTCAGTTACCATCTGCTCACTCAGGCCTAACAGCTTCGCATGGATTCGTAAAACGTAAACCTTTTCTTGGTTTTGAAGTTAGAAATCTAGTCCGACTGGCTGATACTCGTGATATAACTAACCAAAGGAATTTAATCCATTATTTAGTAGAATTAATGGAACTCAAGTAAGGAATATACTGACAAAGATTATTTTGAAAATTGTATTTTAGTTTGCAACTAAGTCACTCTAGTTTTTTTTTGTTTTTCTACATCCGAATATATATATATATATATATATATATATATATATATATATATATATATATATATGTCATGAATAAGTAGGAAAGTTCTGTCCGTCATCATTATGATCATACGGTTATAGTCGTAGACTTCAATAGTTAATGCTTAAATTTATATAAATTCAGTAATAGAGCTGTGGCGAAAAAATTTCAAGCTAATGAACTTACGTTTTTTCAACTTTTTAATAATAAACTAGTATCGATCGGAAAACAATAAAACTTTAGTATAAATTGTGCCGGCAAATATTTTGTTAGAATGAAACAACTGCCTAATACCTCCTCTTTCTTAATGTTTTTCGATGTTCGGGGATAGAAGGTAGTCAGGAGGGCACCCTAGACCTAGATCTTGTATTAGTTGGCAAGGCGAACCTCTAATCTTGAAGGACTAAGATATTCATATCGGTTACCACTGAGTGATCAACTGATTTCATGCTTGTCTACTAGTGGAGATCGAGTTTTATTAATTTACAAAGATACCTAATTATTGATATGTTTTTGGTCCGATGGATATTTGAAGAGTGAAATAGTATTAAGTCAGGATTTCTTACTTCTCATCGTACTTCATATTTATTGAAAGTAACTTGGCAGTAAAGTTTTTAAAAAATTGATATAGCGATGTATAAAGTAGGCACATTTTTATAGAATTTTTAAATGATTGTAAGACACATTGATACATAAATATTCAACTTCCTTTGATATCTTATAGTTTTACTGAGGAAGCTCACTCATGGTCTGATGAAATGCCTACATTAGATGCTGCACAAAGTTTATACTGCGCAAAAACACTTGAAGAGAAACTGGTCGAAACGAAACGTGACGTTGCTCGTTTAGAAATAGATTTAAGAGGGGTTGGTGGAGTCGCAAACTCAAACAACACGGAATGGGTTATCAAATCTAATTCAGATCCTAAATCAGATGCTTTTAAAGCAAATTTATGCTTTGGTTTAGTGGTGGGACAATTTTTAGCTCATGCAATGCAAGAATTAATGTTACTGAGTGAATTACACAAAACATTTACCGAAAGATATAACGAGGTATTTATTTGTATGATTCACATTTTGATCATTTTACCCTGAAAATTATACTTAATAAGTTAGCTTTAATAAATTTGCTAGCGATTGTGTTTACATTTCATCACTGTTCAAACTATTAGGGTGTTTTTATTATAAAACAACCGGTTTAAACTATTTATAGTATTCGTTCCATACAAAAATGTTAGAACACGGAATGCTTTTCTCAATCTATTAGACATTTACTTGCGTGTGCTTCCGACTTAATAACATTATGTTCATAAGAACTGTTACATTTCACCATAACTTCGAACTTGCGTTGAAACGTATTAACGAACTGAATTACTGTAACTCTGTCATTTAAACGGATCTTATTTATTTTCACTTTGAAAAATCATGAATTAGTAAAGAAATACGTATCCATTAGTCTACTGTTTCTCAAATAAGGATTACTACACATCATCAGTCCACTCGATGGTTTTCATTAGCATAGTAAAAGAATTGTGTGTATTTTAAAGTATTTTAAAAAATAAGGTAAGTAGCCCGGAATTCTTGAAGGGATGAAAAGAGAATACTCAAGCTTCAATATTAAAGATGTTTAAAGGAAGATTAAGAATCAAATAAAAATTCTGTGGAGAGAACCATTTCCGACATTCTTAATAGTTTGGAGTTTTATATTTAACACCCTTGAACAGGATGTAGTATGGTGAAGATGTTGGAAATATTAAATGCAAATAAACTAAAAAAATCCACTTTGCCTCCGGTTTCCAGCTTGGTTTATATCAAGGTGGTGGTTAGTGGTAGTCGACAAAAAACCGTGAAACTAGGTTTCGGGCTATTTGACACTCGTCGGCAAGGTGTACCTGTAATCTTGAGAGAAATAATGCTCCCCAGAATATTCAATCCCGTGTCACCCAGCTTCACGATCAGTCACGTTACCACTGAGAAATCCGAGTTATCGCCTACCTCCTGTAAAGCTGAGATGTATTTACAACCGATTGGTCACCGCGTAATAACCAATGTCACGTATGTCAAAATCACCTTAGTGCTAATTGAATTCTATCGATCAATGTGCAACGTGGCCATTAGTCTAGATAACTCAACATTAAATGTACTATGCTGAGATATAAGGTGGTGGCTTATACTAGTGCTCTATATGGGTGAGTTAACATTAGCATTACCTTCAACTCATGGTACAATATGATTTGTTTTTCATTCAGCTATCTGTATTTTAAGATGAGTTGTACATTCCGGCTTTTGGAAATATTTCTAAAACATTTTGAGTAGTTTCTATTTAAATGTATTTCATAAATAAATCTTTTAACAATTGGTATCTACTTGCAGTAATAGAATTTACGTTAGTGAATATAGCTATTATTATTTTTATTATTAGTAGTAGCAGTATTGAACTACCAGGTTATTTAACGTTCAGATGACTTCATCTTTATGTGTAAATTCAGAATAAAATATGGAAATAATAGATCTTATCATTCTGCATAATTTATTTATCTAAGAACAGACTGACTAAAGAATACCATTTTCTTGTATTCAGTCAAGTTACGTAATGCAGCTACTCCATGAGTATTATTTCATTGTTATAAATCATTCATATAAATATTAGTGTACATCCCTGATGAAAATAAATTTCATCGCTCTTTTGGTTCTTTTAAGTAAGTGATATTTTGTCGATTTAATTGTGTGATACTTTCTTCAGGTTGTAAAAGCAAAATCAAGCTATGAGCAAATAGTGATAAAAGTAGTAATTTGTTTATTTTAACAGTTTTGATTGAATAAAACTGTTCTATTTCAGATCACTTTCAGTTGTATCGTTTTTATATTAATAAACTGTTTCTTTCTCATTTTATGCATTATCTTTTCCGTATCACATTCTTGTAGTAAGAACGAATAGTTTACTGTTCACCAGACCTTTGCTCGTATTTATAAGTAGTATGTTTTCATAAGCGTTCTATATTATATTGTGATTAATTTACGGATGAATTGAGTGAATACAATGTTAACACTAAATGTCGAAACTTTATTTTATGGTTTTATTACAAAATGCTGTCAAAATGTCATCACATCACTTACGTATACACACATTCTGTTATCTTAACACTTTTTCGTTTCATATCACATGCCCTGTCCTTATGTGTACAATAACAAGTTAGACATTAACACCGTTGGATGCCAGCTCAGTGGTCTAATGGTTAAGTGCTCGCGCGCGAAGCCAGTAGGTCCTGGGTTCGAATCCCGCGGGGTGCGGGACCGTGGATGAGCACTGCTGAGGAGTCCCATACTAGGACGAAACGGCCGTCCAGTGCTTTCAGGTTCTCAATTGTGGTCTAGCTTCAACTGGCTCATGATTTCAATCTGTGAACATAACAAGTTTATCTTAACCTTGAATTTACCTTGTAATCCTTAAGTCATTCTATGGCCTAGGATAACACGACAATTCCTTATTCTTTCTTTTCCCTTGATTATTTTTTAATTGAACTTTTATTTGGTTGACCTTTATTATTTTCATATAAACATGTCTCTTGCATATTAATGCAAATACCTATTTATAAAATCCTTCACGTTGATTGGATGACTTATTCAGTATACAGTAAATCGAAGAACCATGTACCTATTTATATTCGATAATTTTGTTGTTTGATTATATTTTCCTTGAAAAAGCTTGGACCAGATTGCCAGGCGAAACGTTAGAATTACTTCAAATTCTTTCGCTGAGATTTTACAAATACATATTATTCCTCTTTAATGACTCACATCAATCGGCGCCCAAATATTGTGAAACTATTCGTTCAAATTTAGACGAAAGTTCTTATTTAGTAGATACTGTTTGATAATGTTTAAAATGCAACAATGCTCATGACTGATTCCTAAAAAAACAAAAAAAATATGATTCTACCATCTCTTAGCATACTCTAGTTTCCATAATCTTATTTATAGTGAATGGAACAATATTTTTATGTTATTTATATATTTACATTTCTTTTTTTCTTCTTTTTAATGCTTCTATTGACAATAGGTTGCTAATTATCTTGCTTTAGATCAAGCAAAATATACTGCTGATGAACTATTTAATGATCTGAAAACATTTAGAGAACTTTATCGTAAAGCTTGTATATCTAAATAAATAAAAAAGTTGGATTTGGTAATTATCATATGAAAATAATGTATTATCTAGTTGTATTATAATGAACTCTTAAAGGTAAAAGTTATTTTATTCACTATATTGTATACAATTTCCTATTTTGAACTTTTAAGCCTAATGATCACATGTTAATTTTTTCTTTAAATTTTATTTAGATAATTGTTAAAAACAATTAATGAATTGAATTAAATTAATTGTTGATTTAATTTTTGATGTTTTTTCTATCTTCTTGATTCTTTTTTTACTACATAAACAGTAGGTAACATCCTGTACATGTCTTAAGTGCTGTTAGAATTATGAAGGCGGTTATCACTTCGATTGCTCACACTTGAAGGGTTTTTCTGGAGGTACCTGAAAAGGAAATTGGATTAAAGGTGGTCTTAGTGACCTAAGAGCGTGACCGCAGTGTCTAAGGGACAACTGCTTGAGGCCGGTCACGCATGACTGTTTTTGAGTAATTTTCGTGTTAGCACCGTACTTGTTGGGACCTTGCTGTCTGAGACAGAAATACATGGGATAAGGAAGATATGCTTTATTAGGGTCTAACTGTTCTAACTCCACCTTTCTTGTGGGGAAGCAGCATCACTGTTATTGTGGTTGTCTGAAAGAAACACCTTACTGCTGTCACACCTCTGTACAGCCAATAGTTCGACTTCGCCCTCAGACCTTGGGTTTGCTGCTTTTATCCTTACCACTCTTCAATCGGCCTGTCTGGAATGGTAGGACCTTAGAAACGATTGTTCTAGCCAGTATAGCTCGATTGGTTCATTATGATATGCAAGCCCAACCACCACATCATGGTAGCAACAACAATCGGGTCCAGGACGTATAATCTATAGTGTATGGGTATTGTTCAGTAATTCATTTGAAATCAAATGTCACTAATCCCCGTATGTAGTTTAGTACTTTAGAGAAGCAGTAATAGGATCATCATGATACCGATTGAGATGTAGTAAATAAATGGAATAAATGACAGATTTCTTTAGTTTATTAGCTACAAATTGAATGCTAACGTTAAGTATATGTGGTTGTGTCACGGAATGTTTCAGAGAGGAAATAAGAGTTCTCGTTAGCGCGAAAAAGATATTAAATGTACATATAGGATTGTTTATTTATTGTCTGAAATTCAAAGTACGTTTGTGATGATAAAGAGTTAGTTTGATATTTAAATATACGTAGTTACCAGTAACTGATAACCATACGGGCTGTCAACCAACACCTAGGTCAGAATTTTCAATACACATGTCAAGACAGTTATACTGTATGGGGCGGAAACCTGGAGAACTACGAAAGCCATCATTCAGAAGATACAGGTGTTTATTAACAGCTGTCTACACAGAATATATCGGGTCCGTTGGCCGGACAATATTAGCAATAACCTATTGTGGGAGAGAACAAACCAGATCCCAGGGGAGGAAGAAATCAGGAATAGGCTCTGAAAGTGGGTAGGACACATTGAGGAAAGCACCCAACTATGTCACAAGACAAGCCCTCACATGGAATCCTCAAGGCAAAAGGAAAAGAAGAAGACCAAAGAACTCATTACGCTGAGTAATGGAGACAAACATGAGAAGAATGAACTAGAAAGGAAGGCTCGGGACACAGTGGGTTGGAGAAAGCTGGCCAGCGGCCTATGCTTTATTGGGAGTAACAGAAGTAAGTAAGTAAGCTTTAAAAGTGGCGCCCACTTTCGCTGTCAGGAATATATTATCGTTATAATCGATGACAGGTTCTATTTTTTTATCGATGATGCTGAGGTTGATTTCATTAGAGCTTCAATTAGCAAACTAATTCTTTTACTTTAGTTAGTTGGACAGAAATCAGAGTATGGATTTTAATACTAAAGTCTGACATGTCCTTTAATAGCGCAGGGTACGAACGTACCATTGTAGTGACTCACGTTTATCACGAGAACACGACTGGTTTAATAAAAACAATTATTATTATAACCAACTGTACCAGTGTTTGTTATAACGTGCTTTTGTTTGACTGTGCTAATGACAGCTATTTTGTGCTTCCATTCTTATACTTACACTTTGATTGTGATGATGATGTCACAGGTATTCAGTGTTTGACAACGCTTCTACCAGTAACACCTTCTAATATATTTCGTTCCCGCCCAGAGAAATCAAAAGACAGAGTCGAGGAGATCGGAAGAGTGTATTTGGCGATGACCAATATATCGGAATTCTCTGATCTAATCTGGCTAGCGATTGCGGTTGATGTTGAGCACGGCGTTACCACACGTGATCTGGTGTGGATGCCTGACCGAGCGCCTTCAGCTAGGTGGGTCCACTAAAACATATGGTCAGCATCCAATGTCGAAAACTTAGTGCTATTTATTTTGGGGATTTATTTACCGCTACAGATCACTCCCCCCCTAGTGGGGCAGTGACGACCCTAAGACGTGGCCAGCCAGAAGTTTAAACCCAACGAGTTTGTCGTTGGTAAACACTCTTCTGATAGCTTACTAAATTTAGCAGCGTCTGGTCGTCTTTCCTTACTATATGGGACGGAGGTACAACATAGTAAAAAAAGAAAATGTACATGGAAAATTTCGGATCCTCATAAACGTCATCGTTCTTTTCCAGCCGTCCTGGAAAAGAAAAAGAAAATGTAAGTGCATGTCGAAATACACTCGTATGTGCGTAAAAGCACAATGTCGGCGGAAAAAAAAATGGAAAATAAACTCATGAACACGTAATAGCGTTAAAAAAATTGTTTTTTTGTTTTGTTTTTTTTTAAATAGAAATAAAAATATATAAGCATATTAAAATTGTTTTTTTTTAAAAAATAATATAAAATGTCGAGAAGTGCCTTACGTGCAATAGTCGTTTAGATGTTCTGGAAATCTCACCCTTCTTCCAGAACGCGTCGTTTTAAGTTTATTTTCGGATACTGTCGAAGTATCATCGTGTGTGTTGGTTGTCGGATGAGGTATTATAAGTGTCGGAGTCGTGTCGTTCGATTGTACCGAAGGAAAATCCACGTAGATAGGATTTCCTTCTAAATACGCTGCTTTTAAGCGATCGATACTGATGCTATCGTTGGTTCCGTTCTTATCGACTATATAGTACTTAGATTCACGTTGAAGAACTTTGAAGGGTCCTTCGTATGCTGATTCGAAGGGTCGTCGATGCGAGTCTCGACGAACGAAAACGTGTGTACTATATCGTAAGTCAGGTTGAACGAAAACATCAGTTGATTGAGGTCGAGTGGAAGCAGGTTTAACTGAACGCATTGCGTTTGTAAGCCTGTTCGTGTAGGAGGTTAGATCCATGTTCATTGAAGAGGATGAAGGATCCACGAATTCTCCTGGAAGTCGAAGTGTCGTACCATAAACGAGTTGAGACGCAGTGTATCCAATGTCAGCTTTCACTGCATTGCGGATACCTAGTAAGACGAGTGGAAGAGCGTCAGTCCACTGTGAAACGTTTGCAGCTGATAGCGAAGCTTTCAGTTGTCGGTGAAAACGTTCTACCAACCCGTTTGCTTGTGGATGGTAGGCGGTCGTTCGGAAGCGAGTGATTCCTAAAAGCGTGGTCAGACGACGGAAAAGATCGGATTCAAACTGACGTCCGCGGTCTGTAGTAATGGTTGAAGGGCAGCCGAAGTTTGCTACCCATCGTTCGACGAAGGTGCGAGCCACTGTTTCAGCAGTGATGTCCTTGATAGGTACTGCTTCTGGCCATCGAGTGAAACGGTCTACGCAGGTTAAGAGATAAGAGTATCCATTTGAATCTGGTAAAGGTCCTACCAAATCCAGATGAACATGGTCGAAACGAGCATCGGGAGTTTTAAACGAGCCTAAGGGACATTTATTGTGTCTGATAACCTTAGATTTTTGGCAGTTTACACAGGAGCGTGCCCACTCCCTCACGTCTTAATTCATTCCAGGCCAGCAAAACCTTTCTGCAATAAGCTTGATGGTTGCACGAACACCTGGATGTGAAAGTTTGTGCAATGTGTTGAAGACATTGCGTCGATAATGTTTCGGCACGATTGGGCGATCCCTACCTGTAGATGTGTCACAAAGTAAGGTTTCCTTACCTGTTCCCATCTGTTTGATGCGTAGTTTAAGTGTTGTGGACGATAACTCGTGCTGAAGATCACTGTCTTCTTTTTGAAGCTCGGCGAGTTTAAGAAGGTCGATTCCTTGGAAACTGTTCAAGGAAGTTATGCGAGATAAAGCGTCCGCAACTACATTGTTTGCTCCAGAGATGTGTTGAATATCTGAAGTAAACTGCGAAATGTAGTCCAGTTGTCGAGACTCACGGGGAGAGTACTTGTCAGAAGGAGAGCTTAACGAGAAAGTGAGCGGTTTATGGTCCGTGAAAAGAGTGAATTCACGACCTTCGATGTAGTGTTGGAAATGCCGTACAGCACAATACATAGCTAGGAGTTCCCTACCGAATGTGCTGTACCTCGATTCGGTGTCTAGCAACCTTCTAGAGAAAAATGCCAAGGGTTGCCAGGAGTTGTTAACCCATTGTTGTAAGACTCCTCCGATTGCCGAGTCGGATGCGTCTACTGCGATGCTAATGGGTGCTCGGGTGTCCTGATGTGCGAGCATCGTTGCTTTAGCAATCAGTTCCTTAACTGTGGAGAATGCTTTTCGTGCGGTGTCGTCCAAATTAATGGATTTCGCATTTCCACGAAGTTGGTCGGTCAGAGGTTTCATAAGTAATGCGCATTTCGGTATGAAACGTCTATAGAAACTTACCAGGCCGTTAAACGTGCGTAATTGCTTGACGGTGGTCGGTTCTGGGTAATCCAGAATGGCCGCCACTTTGGTCCTAAGAGGTCGAATGCCTTGAGCATCGATAGTGTGTCCTAGGAAGTCTAACGAGTCGGTTCCGAATTGGCATTTCTGAACGTTTACAGTTATGCCATGTTTTTGAAGTCGTTCGAAAACAAGATCCAGATGCTTGAGATGTGTTTCTCTGTCCGGACTTGCGATTAGACAGTCGTCAACATACGCGTGTACGAAGTTGAGACCTCGAAAAACGTCGTCTATGAATCTTTGGAATGTTTGAGCAGCATTCCTTAGACCGAAAGGCATTCGCAAAAATTCATAGAGTCCGAAAGGAGTTATGATAGCTGTTTTCGGTATGTCGCCAGTAGCCATAGGGATTTGGTTATACGCTTTAACCAAGTCGATTTTCGAAAAGACAGTTGTACCTTTCAAGGTAGCTGTCAAATCGTGAATGTGAGGCAACGGGTAACGATCGGGAATGGTTTTCGCGTTCAATCGCCGATAGTCACCAGTTGGACGCCAATCGTTGCTGTCCTTTTTAGGGACCATGTGCAACGGAGATGCATATGGGCTACTTGACGGTCGTATGATTCCTAAGTCCATCATGTGATCGAATTCGTTTTTCGCTAACCTTAGCTTTTGAGGAGCTAGTCGTCGTGCTTTAGAGAATACAGGTGGTCCTGTAGTCGTGATGTGATGTGTAACATTGCTGGTTACACACGGTAGTTTCGGTTGAGTTTGTTGTATCCCAGGGTACTTATCGAGTAGTGGTTGATAGAGTGGGTCTATCATATGTTTAACTGTGACTGGGGATACTCTACAACCAGTAAAGGAAGTTACGCAAACGGACAAATTAGTGTTTCCGTCTACTAGCCTCCGTTTGCGAGTGTCGTTGATCAGATTGTGGTGTTGTAGAAGGTCCATACCAATGATTGGCATAGAAACATCTGCAACAACGAAAATCCAGTGGATGGGTTTGCGTAAACCCACGTTAAGGTAAACGTACCTTTTGCCATACGTAGCGATCGGTTTTCCGTTTGCCGCCTGTAAGTTTAGGGTCGATTCGTGTAGTCGGTCGTTAGGATTTGCTGGGAGAACGCTAACTTCTGCGCCAGTGTCGACGAGGTAACGAACTCTCGTTGTCACATCTGTGACGAATAACAGACGGCTTTGTTCGCCGGCTACGGTTGCCGTTAACGCGTGCCGGCTTGGAAGTTTCCCGAATTGCTTTTCGAATCAGTCGGTTTCGTGTTGGGAAAATTGCAGGGTTTTCTGCAATTTCTGGAAAGCTTTCCATACTGGTTATGATACCAGCACCAGTCGGGGTTATCTGTCTCTCGTGGTCTAGAGACAGATCGCTTACGAGAAATGCTTCTACGTGGTGTGCGCGATCTCTTACGGTCGTTACGAAGACTAAGATAACGCGTGAGTGTGTGACATAAGTCGTTTATATCATTCTGAGTCGTTTGAGGTTTTTCTTTGACTAAAAATACCTCGGTAGTAGATTTCGTAATTTCTAAAATGCGGTCGGGAGATGCAGCTAGCTTGTCTAAAGCATTGTTCTGGAACGAGACCAAAACTGCTTGCACCTGTTGGGGAAGTTTTGACAAGAAGAGTTGTTTGAATAGGCCTTCGTCGAAAGTTCTTGGGCCTATTACCTCTCTCATCCGTTGCAACATGTCCGTCGCAGAACCGTGTTGCAGGTCGATATTGTTGAAGAGTTGATCTAACCTTTGTCGATCGGTTAGGTCTCCTCGTTTAAGAATCGAGCGTTTTAAGATTTCGTAAGGATCGGAAACATCACTAGTAAACATATGTAGTGACTCACGTTTATCACGAGAACACGACTGGTTTAATAAAAACAATTATTATTATAACCAACTGTACCAGTGTTTGTTTTAATGTGCTTTTGTTTAACTGTGCTAATTGTAGCCTTTTGTGCTTCCATTACCTTCCATCATTGTTCCGCGGTTTTTGGTACTGTTCGCACGTACTCCTGTCTTCTGCTTTCGCTTGTACCTTTTCTTGGCACGATCTCGGTATTCGTTCAATACCACGAGATCGCCAACGAAATAAATCTGGTTACGTTCAATCCTCGCCTTCTGATCTAATTGGCACGTGTTTCTTGGTAGCGGTGTTCACAGTTGATCTCAACTCGACGCCACGCTACACATACTAGGTGTTACGTACCTGTTGAATTCGCGCGGTAGTGCCTTGACTACTGCGAGGAATTGTGCACGTGTGTCGATCACGCCGTGCTCGGAGAAGTCGGCTTCTGCGTAGCAAAACCAGGCTTCGATGTTGTCGGGCCAGAAAGGCATCAGTTGAAACGAAGGCGGGGACAAAGTCTTAAGCTTGAGTACTTTAGGTGTCTGTTCAGTCATGACGAAGTATGAAGTACGATAATGAACAAGGGGAAAATATATATATCCAGGAAAAAACACGAAAAAAAATCACAATGTTTAAAAAAGTTAAAAAAATAAGGCGATGATATATAAAAATCCCAAAAAGGAACAGACTCACAGTTGCAATTAGGTGTACCAGATCACGTCGGGCTCACCAATGATGATGTCACAGGTATTCAGTGTTTGACAACGCTTCTACCAGTAACACCTTCTAATATATTTCGTTCCCGCCCAGAGAAATCAAAAGACAGAGTCGAGGAGATCGGAAGAGTGTATTTGGCGATGACCAATATATCGGAATTCTCTGATCTAATCTGGCTAGCGATTGCGGTTGATGTTGAGCACGGCGTTACCACACGTGATCTGGTGTGGATGCCTGACCGAGCGCCTTCAGCTAGGTGGGTCCACTAAAACATATGGTCAGCATCCAATGTCGAAAACTTAGTGCTATTTATTTTGGGGATTTATTTACCGCTACAGTGACTTCGCGCGAATTCGGTTACGTTCTGTAACCAAGCCTGTATCCTGGCACGATCTCGGTATCCTTTCGATGCCACGAGATCGCCAGCAAATAAACATCGACTTGGTCCATTAATTGCCTTCTGGTATTCGGCTTCTCGGGGATTTTATGGAGTCATTTGGAACGAGCTTCTTACGCCTTCTGATCTAATTGGCACGTGTTTCTTGGTAGCGGTGTTCACAGTTAATCTCAACTCGACGCCACGCTACAATTGGTAATCCCAATTCGAATACACCATAATGTTAAAAGTCATTTCAAGTAAAGGCGAGCAATCTTTGAGACGATGTTAACTAACGTTAGCTTTGCAACTTGATGTTTAGACATTTAGTTCACTTGGTTCTGTTGTGAGGTCACTGGTATGCCCAATCAAGAGATGCTGCGAAATCACGTGTCATATTAGGTGGAAAACTTTATATATTGATGAAACCAAAGGTATGGTCATGCAAGTTAGTCAGAATGTAGTAGGCTTATCATTGGTCGCAAAATACATAACTTGATGCTCTGATTAGTTTTGCATAACATGGGATGCTAAAAAACAACCGCTCCAGAAGCCACAGAAAGTGGAATACAATTCAAAAGAAGGTATACATTTTTTTCCTTTAAAATCTCAAGAATTATTAATGAAGTCTGTGGATTTCATAAACTAGGTGTATTCAGTGAACTGAATGTATAGTTGGTGAACAGATTAGTGTTGCTTTGCGTGGATGATAGCCAATGTATCGAATCACGTTGGTAAGAGATTTTAAAACAAAATGAGCTTAAGATAAAATGATCAAGACTGAACTATTGCGGTACCTTTAGGTCACCCTACGAGCTTGTCACGCAAAGTAACTTGGTACGGCGGTGGCTAGGTTCAACAATAGAGTTCTCCAAACATACTGTTCACTACAAAAGTACTGCATCGTACACTCAAATCGTGAAATCCAAGACAGACGGAGACAAAACTGGTCTTCCCTTAAAAACTGTCAGTATTGGCATCAACTTTGGTTAACACAACTGTCAATTTGAAGCGAATAATCAAAATAAAAGAAACAATGCTCTGAATGTCACGTCTTTGAACGTTGAACCTAGTGTCGTAATATAATATCCAACTTATACAACCAAAGCATGACTCGAAATTACACCTTACTTCATGCTTTTGATGTAGACCACTTCTACAATAAATCTCATTACAGAAGCTACTTGGAGATTGGTAACAAGTAAACACCAAAATATATGGAAGCTCCCGTCTCTTTCGTGTAGTGAAAGTCGCATGAAGTATTGCTACCATACGTGCAGCCTGGTTAAGCAGAGCACATATGGCGCTCCATTCTTAGGCCGCGCAATTCACCCTGAATTCAACAATCGACTATTTAGCATTAATATTTCGTCAGCCTGATTCTGCACGAAGACCGCCAAAGTAAATGGATAGAGGAGTTGAACTTAATAAATTAAATGGCATTTGTAACAATTTGATCTAGACTGCTAATTGGCATGTCTCATGCGACTTAATTTATTGAGGATAAAATATTACCATGAACCTTTGCAAACGTCAGCAATGCCTGTCTGTTCTTGCTGTAAATATGAAAAAATCAGTCAACATTGACCGAATAGCCTACCATGCATAATCTTCATTTTGATGTCCAAAGTGTTAGGTTACTCTATAATCCTGGTTGCATATATAATGCACTGATACCAATCCGAAACCTATATCTTACAAATTCACCCGTTTCATTGAAAATAAACTCTTGACGGCTTCCGGAGATTTATCTTCAGAAAAGTGCTTTTCTCGGGTGTCAAAACATCTAAATTACATTTCACAGTATGCTTCGGACATACAAAATGCTTCTTTGGCGAACGACGCTGCTGTCGACTTCTTGTGTTGCGTGAATTCCTCGAACAGTTTCCAGGGAATCAGCCGACCTCAACTTACCCAGCCTCAAAAATGAGATACTGATGAGTTGTCAATAATCCTCGGACTGCATGTTTAACATGTGGGAACATGTTAGGAAACTTTACCATCATATCCACTGGTAGATATCAACCAATAGTGCTAAAACATCACCGTCTCAATATCTTCAGAACATTGCTCCCAGGTGTTCGAGCTACCATTAACCTCACAGCAGAACAATTTTGTTGACCCGGTATAAATAACGACGTGACAGTGTGGAAAACCCTGTAAATGCTGCCGAAATTCTGTGGCTAAGAGAAACCCTTTGGTTTCTTTGAAAACTCTTCATGTTTGCTTTGATCGCATCCAACTTGTTCTGGCGGGGTCTCTATTAAGTTCGATTAGAAGCCCTCATCTATTTATTAGAGACTGAACCTCCCGGAATCGTTCCAAAAGAAACGGTGGTCTGTGCGTTTGTCGTTCGTTGAGTCGCAAACTTCGGTTTTTCCTCATTTATTACTGCAAATCATAGACACCAGGTCTAACCCGTGATATACAAATACCTTATTAATCAATT